TCACCATCACTGGGACAGAGTGTCAGCCTGTGGACCAAAGGGTCCCAGGTTCCATTCCAGTCAAGGGCACATACCTCGGTTACAGACTCCGCCCCAGCCTGGGCCCTGGTCGAGCGCGTGCAGGAGGCAACCAATCGATGTGTTTCTCTCACATCAGTGTTTCTGTCTCTCCCTCTCTCTCCCTAAGAATCAATGGAAAGTATCCTCGGGTGAGGATTCACAACAACAAAAAAAGACCATTCAGACATTCAATGACCAGCTACCGAACACCAGCCTGGGTCAAGCACCATGCTCAGTCAGGGCTACCAACCTGGTTACACATGATCATATAAAACGTTAAGCACATGAAGGGACGTAACAAAATACAATGGGACACAAAAGGGCAACTAAGCTTATTCTGGAGATGAGGCCCATGGAAGTGGTGGTTGCAGGATAAGCGGCGGCTCCCCAGGAGGGGAGAGGGGAATGTATGGCAGCAGCAGCGTGCACAAAGGCAGGGCAGGAAAGAACACGGGGGCAGAGAATTCATTGTGACAACAAAAGTTTACAATCACTGAACCCTGCCTACATTCCAAGAACTGCGCTAATGCTTACATACATCATCTCACCTTATCCTCTCAGCTAGGAAGAGAGTGTTGTCCCCATTTTTCAAATAAGGAAACTGAGTCTCAGCAAGGTTTAAATGAGTGGTTCCCAATGGGGCACATGCCCCACAGGGGGGCAATTTGATTGTTAAGGGGAGCAATTGGAGAATGAGTTATTAACGGTGAATTTTTTGCATTTCTTATGGTTCTAGGGGCTTCATATACAGTCTTATTAATATATTGTGACACATGTATGCATTTTAGTTCTCTATTATGTTTTGAAACTTTATTTGCTATCTTTTCATGTCACTTCATATTATTGTTTTCTTAACAATTTCTTAGTGATTTCTACCTCAGTACTTCAACTGTCCTTTCGTTCTTTGATTTTTCTCTTTCATGGAGGTCATGTTCTTTGGAAGCTTGTTTAGACCAAGTTAATGGCCTTTTAGGCTTCCTCCACATGAATAGGAGTTCACTTTTTGAATAATAAGAATTGTATGTCACGGGGGGACATCAGGATTTTAGAGATGCTTAGGTGGGGAACCACTGGTTTAAATAAAACACAATTTGTCCAAGGGGCACAGCCAGTAAAAGGCACAGCAAAGCATGTGCACACCCACATGCACGCGATTCCAAAGCCTGAGCCCGAACCACTCCGGCCTGCCCAGAGCCAGGGGACGGTGGGAGGAAGGGGCGCACGGTAAAGGACAGTGTCCTGTGCCTGAGGAGGAGTGGTCACGGATGTCACACAATCAGGGCGGCTGTGCAGTAAGCACTGATTCGAGGAGGGCAAGCACAGAGGCCGAGGGTCCACGGAGGAAGTGACCCTGCAAGCACAGGCAAGAAACTGTGAACTCAAGTGGTGGCTGTGAGAACGGGAAGGAAGGGCCAGATTCTCTGGTAATTAGGAGAATTACTGGGCTGGACGTCTACACCCAGTAAGGGAGAGTGAGGTGCACTTAAGTCAGAGCACTTAAGCCAGTATCCTGTTCAGGGTTATCTTGTCATTTCTGCACCTTGCCAACAGCGCACCTAGCATGCCAGCCAGAAGAGAGGAAATCCCCAGCAAGTGTCTGCTGCAAGCATTAGAGGAATTCCCGGTGCAGCTGGGCCTCGTGAATGGTGACGTCCCTCACGGAGACAGGAAGAACAAGAGGAACAGATCTGAGCTCAGGAAAGAGCCTGGCTGGAGCCATAGTTAGTGGGAATCACCACTAAATAGATGGTAACCCAACCTCGGGGTGAAGTCACCCAGAGCTGCCTGTGGTGGGTAGAGTGGAGGGGCTGCAAAGGCAACTGAGGGAGGCTGTGTCAGAAAAACCCCGAGAGCCCCCAGTCCTAGGAAAGGTTGCCGGTTCGTTGCAGG